GGCTAATGTGGTCCTATAATTCAATCAGGGGATAAGTCCACTCCTTCAAATTCCGTCCAATAAGCCTGACTCTATAGTGGGGAAGTTATTAGAATCAATTATAGCTGACATTATCAAAGTCACCTTGAGAGCATATCTTGATAAATGAATCTCAGCATGGATTTCACGGAGAGGGGGGGGTGGGGGCGGCGGGGGGGGGTGTTCCTGCCTGACAAACTTATGACGTTCTTCAATAGAACATTGAAGGCAGTTGACAGGGATAAGGAATATGATATTGTTTATTTGGATTTTAGTAAAAGCTTCGATAGAGTACCTAACAAGGAGGACCTCTTAAGAAAGTGGCAGCTCATGGTATAGGAGGTAAAGTTCTAGCATGGATTGAGGCATGGCTTACCAATAGAAAGCAGAGAGTTACCATTAATGGAGTGAAATCTGAATGGGGATTAGTCACTAGTGGCGTTCCACAAGGATCAGTTTTAGGCCCTCTCTTGTTCATAATTTACATTAATGACCTTGATGAAGGGATTACGAGTGATATGAGTAAATTTGCTGATGATACAGACCAATAGCACTAACATCCCATATCATAAAAATCTTTGAAAGGATCCTAAGAAGCAAGATCACCACCCTCTCGAAACCCCATCAGTTAACACAACCAGGGCAACATGGGTTTAGAAACAGGTCGCTCCTGTCCGTCTCAACTATGGATACTACGACAAGGTCCTAAATGCACTAGAAGACAAAAAGAATGCAGATGTAATATATACAAACTTTGCAAAAAGCCTTCGACAAGTGTGACCATGGCGTAATAGCGCACAAAATGCGTGCTAAAGGAATAACAGGAAAAGTCGGTCGATGGATCTATTAATTTTCCTCATAACAGAACACAGAGAGTATGTCGTCAACAGTGTAAAGTCGAGGCAGTACGGTGAAAAGCTCTGTTCACAAGGCACAGTAATAGCTCCCAATCTTGTTCTCATCCTCATATCCGACATAGACAAGGTGTCAGCACAGCACGTGTATTCCTTTGCAGATGACACCGAATTGCATGACAGTGTCTTATTGCAGACACTGCAAGGCTCCAGGCGGACATCAACCAAATCTTTCAGTGGGCTGCAGAAAAACAATATGAAGTTCAACGAGAGAAATTTCAAATACTCGATATGGTAAACATGAGGGAAATTAAATTTCATCAGAGTACAAAAACAAAATTCTGGCACAAATAGAGCGAAACAACACCAACGTCATAGACTGGGAGTGGATTATGGCGGAGGATCTCACCTTCATGGACCAAACATTGTATCAAATTGCATTCTGCTAGAAAATGACAGGGATGGATAATGAGAACCTTCAAAACTAGGGAGGCCAAGCATGCAGACCCTCTTCAGGTCACTTGTTCCTATCTAGGCTGGATATTGCTGCACACTAACAGCACTTTCCAATGGCAGGTGAAATTGCCGACCCTAGAAAATGTTACAGAGAACTTTCACCGGCGCGCATAACGGAGATAAAACACCTCAATTACTGGAGCGCTTGAGGTTCCTAACATGTATTCCCTGGAACGCAGGAGGGAGGAGATACATGATATATCGTACCCCCGACAGGTAACCGGAGAGTTGGCTCTGGAAAATCCTAGAGGGACTAGCTACGCCAAGCCCCCGCCCATCTCACTCTTACGAAAGGAAAAAGACTTGGCAGATGATGAAATGCACCAATCCCACCCAAACTGAAAAAGAAGGGGTTGTTCACTAGCACGTTAAGAGACATACAATAAGTGTCAGGGGCCCGTAGACTGTTCAACTGCCTCCAGCACACATAAGGGGGGATTACAACGACCCCTGTCAGTCTTCAAGCTTGGGCACGGGACAAGCACCTAAAGGTCAGTTTCATGATCCTGCCGGGCTGTAGCTCCGGATGTTGTGGTTTGCGTGCAGCCAGGCAGCAACAGCCTGGTTGATCAGGCTCGGAAATCCACAGGAGGCCTGGTCACAGACCGGGGCCGCAGGGGGCGTGGACCCCCGGAACTCTATCCAGGTAAACTAGGTATATACAAAGATAGGCCGTATCATTCACTTGAGGAGGATATCAATGGATCTCAAGGACGTTTGGCAAGATTAATGTCTTAGGGTTTTCTGAAAAAGGGCAGATGAAGTCAAATGTGGATAAGTGTAACGGTTACTTACCTTGTAATGAAAATACCCTCGAAGCTATAATCTAGAGGTGAAGTAGAGCTTGTTCATACAGAATGTGAAAAAAAAGACTTGGGAGTCTGGGTAAGCAGAATCTAAAGCCAAGACAGCAGTTGCCTTAGTGTGCGCAACAAGGCCAACAGATTACTTTGGATTTATCTCAAGAAGGATAAGTAACAGAAGTCCAAAAGTTATTTTACAGCTCTATACATCACTAGTGATGCTCATTTGGATTATGCTGCCAGTTTTGGGTTTCCCCTTATTACAGGATGGATATAGGACTCATTTTAGAGAACATACCAGAGGAAGCATGACTAAAATGATTTACTGTTGTAAGGAACTTCCCGTAATGAAGATAGACTCAAAGCCTTAAATCTCCACTCTCTGGAGGAGGCGTTTAGAATGAAGGAGATAATCATTTGAAGTTGCTTTATAGTAATTGTTTACATTAATGTTTAATCACTGATTTCATATGCTAGTTAATCTTAAGTAAATTTTAAGCCAGCCGTAATGCTATGCATAGATATAAAGTGGCTTGGCATATGCTCTTATCTGTATTTTTTTGTACCTCTGTATGTGTGCTCAAATTGTAAATAATAAAAAAAAAAAAAAAAGTGGATGACGGGCAATAATACAAGTAGATATTAATAAAGTACTGAGGGTGTCGAACCAGGAAAAGAACCAGGAATAATGGATTTTAGTTGGATAAATTTAGTTTAGAAAGGACATGTTAAGTAATGGTTTTCTTAACAGAGTGGTACGACGCGTTGGAACAGTCTTCCAGTGGGGTTGATAGAGGCTAGGGACCTTGGTTAGCTTTAACGAGGACTGGACAAATATATGAGTGGGAAGGGCTGGGTTTGATTGGTGTTTATTAGGTACGGAGTTGTTTCCAGGAAGCTTTAGGTAGTAGTCGTTTTGGATAAGGACCTGTCTCGCCTGGGCAGTAGGCCTTCTGCGGTGTTCCTCCATCTTATGTTCTTATGAGTGGATGTGGTGGGTGTGAGTTGGAACTGATAGCTTGTGTACCAGGTCGGTTCCGTGGTCCTCTTAAGTCAATAGTGAACCTGACATGACTGGGTTTGGGTGCATTGGCTTAAGCAGTAGGAGACTTGGACCTGCCCTCGTATTGGGCAGTAGGCCTTGCTGCAGTGTTCCTTCGTTATGTTTCTTATGTTCTCTAACAGAGTTGTGGATTGCGTGGAATCAACTTCCCAGTAGGGTGGACAGATATTGTTTCAGATATGGAATAATGCTCTTCTCCAGACTGATGGACTGACCACTCAAAACTTTAAGGGTGATGGACTTGATACATCTTTCAAGTCTCTTCTGCTTCTACGCTTTTCCTGTACTCGACTGAAGAGCTAGTGTGGCCGAAACGTTTCGAATAAAGATACTTAACTGTTGCATATGGTCTTACTAACAACAGGGTGATAGAGGGCTAGGTACCTTGGGTAGCTTAAAACGAGATTGGACAAATATATGAAGTTGGGAGGGGCAGGGTTTGACTTGGTTGTCATTGGTTTGGGATGTTAATTTCTTGGGTAGATTTGGGTACTGGTTACCTGGGTTATTCGGGGATCAATGCCACCACGGCCAATCCATGAACCAGGACCTCCGGTGAAATCAGGGCCCGATTCAACAGGCTGTTAATGATGCGCACGCAGTCCAACGTTACAATGCCACAGACTGGCTGATCCGGCACTTGACTGTAGGTATTGTACTGCTCTCTCGAAGGCAGCCAGGGGTTTATTGGTAATTCCCTAATGCTTGTTGGGAGGCTGGAACAGTCTTGGGCCCCAGACACTTATGGTGTTTTCTCTTAGTGTACCATTGCGCCCCTACTTTTAATGGGGGTATTTTGCATCCCGCCAGTCTTTCTACTTGCGTAGGGGAGTGATTTCTGCGTGCAGATTCGGGGCATTCCTTCCAGGATTTTCAAGTGTTAGATTTATATTATCTCTCTCTCTGGGTTCCCTACGAGTACAAGTTCAAGTGCTTCCAATTATTATTATTATTTATTCAAGGGGGAAGAGCTAAACCCGGAGGATTATACAGCACGGGGGGGGGGATGTGGAAGGCATTCAGGCTTAATTTGGGGAATGGAGCACAGATCCAATTTCCTAAACAGAGCCCTCACCAACATCAAAGGAAAACCTTCCTTGAGGGGAAGTGCTTTCCAAGCATTACCAGTAGTTAAGGTGCTTGACAGAACTTATTCGTGCAGGTTAAAGGATCTCTGTACACTCTCTAGATCGCGATTTCACCCGCTTTGATGGAGATGTAGGAGGTTGTTTTTGATAAGGACCTGATCTTGCATGCACCAGTAGGCCTTCTGCAGTGTTCCTCCATTTCATATGTTCTTGTCACACATGGTATGGTTAACCTGAAGGTTTCACTCAGGCTGGGGAGAGTCTTCAGCTGACTCTCTACAAAAATGGTATCGTGAGGTGGTATAAACCTTGGTAATAAATACCGACAATGTTGGTTTAGAAAGACAGAAAGACACGTAAGCAAACACTATGGACATATTTATTAGAAACGTTTTTCGGTCCTGGGACCTTGTTCACTTCTAACATTACAGAGGTAGAAAAGACACTGTTGATACAGTGGCCCCCGTGTTAACGGATAATTTTTTCACTCCAGAAGTATGTTCAAGTGCCAGTACTGACCGAATTTGTTCCCATAAGAAATATTGTGAAATAGATTAGTCCATTTCAGACCCCCAAACATACACGTACAAATGCACTTACATAAATACACTTACATAATTGGTCGCATTCGGAGGTAATCGTTATGCGGGGGTCCACTGTATAGGCGGAGAGTGAGGTGTGACGAACTTATACGTGCAGTAAAGGATCTCTGTACACTCTCTAGATCTGCAATTTCACCTGCTTTGAATGGAGATGTAGAGGTTGTTTTGATAAGGACCTGCCTTGCATGGGCCAGTAGGCCTTCTGCAGTGTTCCTCCATTCTTATGTTCTTATCACACTTGGTATGGTTAACCCTGAAGGTTTCTCCTCAGGCTGGGGAGAGTCTTCAGCTGACTCTCTACAAAAATGGTATCGTGGTAGACGAAGGAGGCTTCCGCAACTTTGAGGCTGTTAAAACACGGCAATTCCTGCAGGATATCCTCGATGGCTTCTTCCCTAGTGAGCTACAGGATACATTTCCTCAGGGCATCCCTATTAAGGTAGGTCCTGAATATTCTGAATTGTAGAATGGTTTGTTTTTCATGAAAAGTTTTAATAGGTACAAGAATATCATCAACTTAGTTAACTGTGATGTTCTTGGGAATGTCTGGTATCATTGATTTATATATTAAACAATGATAATGTGTCAGAGAAGTATAATTTCATCGATAGTATTCAGTAGCGACAAACAGATGAATGAGACACATGTGCAACACCTGGCTATCTATATTTATGGAGATGTTTCAACAACCAATGGTTTTTTTCAGCTTCTAGCTGGTAGTGAAAGAGGCAGTAATCTGTCTCTCAGTCTTGTTAGGTGTTCAAACCTTTAGTCTTGATAAAACTAAGTCAGATGAATGAGAATGGAGACCTACATACTGGAGCCAGAAGAGAGGTGCAGCAGTTAATGCAGCAGTTAAAGACATCGTCACAAATGAGTGGGACCTACCAGTGGAAGTAGGGTATGCCCAAGAATTTGGACAAAGGTAAACAGTAGATCATCTGCAGCCACCCTATTGTAGATCAATGGTTCAGAGAACCGACATGTTGATAAATTAGACACGTGCAACTCTTGGGTATCTTTATTGAGGAAACATTTCGCCACACAGTGGTGAAATGATGAAGCCACTGTGTGGCGAAATGTTTCCTCAATAAAGATACCAGGGTTTATCAACCACCCTATTGCAAACCTTTAGCCTAACATTTTGGGCACTGTGACAGTGTCTGTAATTGTTGCACCTCTCTTCTGGTCCCAGTATACAAGCCTCCATTTTCAGGAATTTTCTTTAGTTTGCTCAAGACTAAGGGACTGAAAACCATCTACACAGGATGAGGGACTGATTACTTTCTCCTCCACTATATACAATTTCTCCTCCACTACATATAATCTATTGAATTGACAAAGCAATTGATTGGCAAAACATCTTTATAAATAAAGATACCCAGGTGCTACACATGTCTTATTTATGATTGATTGTCTGAATGCAAGTTTAATATAATTAAGGTGTCTGCAGATAAGCCTAATTATTATTATATTCTGTCTTGTAGGTTCGTGACAAGCGGCAAGTGATATTTCTGCCTAACTCTTCTAAACGTAAGGGAGCGATACGGCCACCAGTTCCTCCTAAGCCAAGAATCCCCACCACTGACTCATTGCCCACTATGTCCTCCCTCACATCAGTGACTTCTACGCTCTTCAGCAGCGTCTCTGAGGCTGAGACAAGACCTGTGGAGGCCCTTGTTCCAGTAGAAACTAGTGACAGTGCGCCTCCCACCATCCCTCCACCAGAAACATCAGGAGACACTTCGCGCCTGTGTCCAGAGATGGATTATCGAAGCGAATCAAGTGATGTCAGCAGTCGTCGTAACTCCCTTCAGCGTGGCAGTGACAAGTCTGAAGGTGAAGGGGTTGGGAGGGTTGAGAGCAGCCATCGAGGGAGTGAGGTGTGGAGGCATGCAGAGGTGCCTACTGTTCCTGCTATCACTGCTGTCAGGCGTGACAGTCGCAGAGAGAGTGAATCACGTCGAGGATCTGACCACCGCACACATCAGTGTCGTCGTGGTTCAGAGTGTCGACGTAGCAGTGAATTAGCTAGAACGACACTTGACCTTGACCTAGGTCGTCGTGCTACCTCTAAACATCCCCTTGAATGGAACCGCATCAACCGCACTGCTTTTCTTCTGAATGATGACACATTTGATTCCAATGGCAATCGTAGAGGAAGTGTGGGAGTGCTGAGTGCTGACCCTTATGATATGGACAATCTTAGGAAAAGACGAACATCAGTAGAGGACTTCTTAGCCAAAGTTCCCACCTGCGTCGTCAAGAATGGCAAGATTGTAAACTTGAGAGAGGAAGTGGCTGACATGCTCATGGTAAGTCCCCAATATATACTCTAAATGAAGTGACAAACACATAAAAGTCATCCAGTACAATAGGTGGTGGAGAAACCATACCACGGGCGGGAAAAGAACCCGTGATCAGAGAGTCTCAAAACTCTAGACCGTCGCCCGTGGTATGGTTTGTTTTCAATTGCGTCATTACGATTTTGTGAGTCAGGTGGTGGAGGCTCGATCCTCCATCCACTAAACAGATGCTCTAGCTATACTCACTAACAGAGATAAGTTGTGGAATAATCAGCATCACTGTAACTTTTATGATAATCATTGTGACTCATTTTGATTAAAGCATACTTTCTTTAATAGTTTTTGCAGATAAGAAAATTGAGCCCCCTTTGTGAAAAAAAGTATACATACTGTATGGTAGAGTGAAATGCAGCTCCTTATGATACAACCAAGGATAATAATATGCAGTGGAATTCACATACTAATAATAATAATCTTTATTTCTACAAGTACGTGACACAACCATTACAGACCTAGCTGACATTGACATACTGTATAAAAAGCCCTTGATTATGCAGAGCTTTTTTGGCAATTTAGGTTAATCTTGTCTCACAAAATATGACCCACAACAGTCATCTAACAACCCAGGTACCTATTTATTGTTAGGTGAACAGGGGCAGCAGGTGTAAGGAAACATGCCCAACATTTCACCTGTGCCAGGATCAATCCCTGAACTGTTTGTGAGCTGAGGACACTCTCAGCTACAATAAACTGAAGGACACGTGACTTAAGCCTCCGGTATGGAAAAAATATTATGACAAAAAATACCGATGGGCTGTGACAGTTATTCGACTGTATACTTAAGAATTTAAAAGAGTTCTAGGAAGATAAATATTCTAGTATAAATATGGGAAAGTGCATAATTTCTTAATGATTTTGGGCAGAGGTGGAATGTGTACTAACCTTTATGATTGTTCATTGTTTATGCACAGAGTGGGATGTTGAGAAAGCTGGAAGGTGGAAAGCCAGAATAAGATTGTGTTATGTACACTTACAGTGTGCATTTCCTGTACACTATAATTTAACAAAGGAGATTTTATTTCATAGTTAAATTTAATAAAATGTCTTATGGTATTATTAATCAGTGGGTGGTTTAATAGGCACAATAGTGAATAAAGTTAAGATAAAATAAGCTAATAAGTTTATGTTTTATAAATGGCTAATATTGTGAAAATTTGTGTGGACTGCCTCCGAGTGAGTCACCTACCCTGGCAAACTCTGTTGACACCGAGGTCTGAGGTCGGTACCTCAGCCTCACAAGTGGCTTATAGGACAGATTTTCACAAATGATTGATGTTGCAAGAAACTCGCCTGCATGCACGTATAAAGGACTAACTTACTTGGTGTTGCAGCAAATATCCTGATCTTCAACCTTCCTAAGCTTAGCCCCTTTGGACTTCCCCTCAGAAACCACGTGCAACCGGGAGCGTGAATTCCTGCAATATTCAGTCGTTATTAGTGACCTGCCTGCACCTCAGAAATTCCTATATCCAAGGGGGTGTGTATCCCCTAGTACAACTATGCAGACACAGACACTAGCTTCTAGGTAGACAAGAGACACTGGTACGTACTGGGCATGCACTGCCAGTTGCATACAGGCCTACAGTTCAACTCACAATTTTTCCCCAGACACTGGCCAGAAATCCTAAGAGAAAGTGGAGGTTTTGTCTTACTGTATGGGTCTGACGAAGGAGGTCATCTACGGTACATCGAGGTGCCTCTACCAGATTTCCCCAGGTCTCAAATGTGAAGACACGTGGGGGGCGCCATCTCCTGATCACGGCATGTGTTGTCCAGTTGGTGTCTGTCTTCAGAAGAACGAGCTGATGTCTTCCAGACCCTCGTCTCTTTGTTCAAACTAGGGCTGCCAGTTCTCCCTAGCTAACTTAACCTAGTGTTTGCCTACATTATCGGCCTATTACTACCTATGTTAAGGTCTTAGGTCTACATTATTATTATCTACAGTTGCCTTAGTAAACCTAATATTAATATACTAACAGTAAAACTACCTACTCCTTCCCTGAAGGGTAAATCTATAAATTAAATAGGTGCCTACCATCAATCCACGCCAACTCGAGAGAATGAGTTTATGCTCGGGGTTGGGTGTAAGGGCCCTCGAACGGTGTGTTTTGTTTTTGGGTGGGTTTAAGGGCCATCGAACGGTGTGTTTTTGTCCGTTGGGACTTCTCGAACCGAATAAGTTCCAACAAATATGCCAAATAAGGATTTGGAAATTATTTACCCCAAGTCAGTTTAATAACCCAAGTCAGTCTGTGTTTAATACATGAAAAGTTGCAGTGAGCACTTCCTTTTAGTATATAGGTGAGTACTTTCTTGTATATGATGTGAGAGATTTCTTTTAGTATATATAACAACTGGTTACCTTTATTTACACTAATATTGACTTACAACTTTCTTCCTTTTCTTTCAAACAGCTTTATAATACATATAATCCAGGAGGGGCCACAACAACCTATTTTAATTTCTAATTTGGGACTTATTTGTGAAAATTCTGTGTTAGTAGTTGCAATTTATGAGTGAAAAACCCTTACCTTCCCTCCCCAGGGACCATCCAGGAAGAACTCTCTTACGTTGGTACACACACCTGTGCTAGACGAGGCAGGAGAGAGCCAGGAGAGTAATGACCAGGACACTTTGGTAGACAACCAGGTTGATAATAGTGATCCACACTGCCCAGCACTTACTTCCACTACCACCTCAACCACCACCACTCACCATGATTATGCACACTCCAGAACCACCCTCAGAATTAAAGGGGGAAAATGGTTGGTAGTTGACTGTATTGGTAGATCTCTCTTGGTAATGGGCCTAAGAATGTTTTTCACTTGTATGTTTGTGTACAGAATTTCTGAGGCACAGTACATGGCCAAATTCTCTTTCTCATTCTCATACCCACCATAGACAGTGATATAAGCCTGTAGACAGTATAATTCTTTGCAGACAATACTAGGGCTTGTATGAGAGTGCCCAAACCCTTGAGGACACAACAGTTGTCATACATACCTTATTTTCAGGATTTAGAAAATATAACCTTGAAAGTTTTATCATTTTTGCATTTAGAGTAAAACAAAAATTAAATCTAATTGTCCTTAGATCTATAGTTTCCTGCTTCTTGTTTATTTCCCATTTCCTATTAATAGACCACTGTATAGAAAATCTAATGGTTATAGTTATAACCATATTTTTTAAAGGGGTGGAGGGGTAAGCCAGTAGAAGGCCTAGGTCAGATGATCAAAAGCTCCAATTCTGGGTCATCATGTGACTTAAGACCTGCCTCAGGAAACACTTGTGTGGTTTCCTGAACAACCTTACCTAACCTAACCTAGCCACTGTGTATAAATATTGGGTTACAACTCTCTCCCTTCCTTTAGTATTAATCATGGTGATATCTCAGGTTTCATTTTCTTTATTTTTAATCTCTTGAGTAACTAATTTAATTTCTCCTTTGTTGTGTCACGTTTTTTTGAGCCTCATTTGCCATATTTCCTGCTTTCTCATTGAAGACATCTTTGATTTTTTTGTTTCTGGAAAAACTTAATTTTTTGTTTGTTCACTGTTCTCTTTTTTTAGTATTATTACAAGGTCATTTGTTGCTGTTTCATGTTGTTTTGAGTAATTGTGATCCATTTGGCCTGCATTGTTACTATTATATCATTTTCGAATTTTTTTATGCATCCCTTCTTATTCTTACACATGCATTCCTAGTTCTGCTAAGTCTGTCCCCATGCTTCACATAACAAGGTGGTTTCCTTCGAGTATACTAAAATAAAAAGATGTAACTGCAGAAATTAATCTACACCCCTGTAATTTTTGAAAGCACTTTTTTTAATTTACTAAATGTTCTTTATAGTCATTGCTCTTTATGTCTTCCGTTTAATATTAAGGTATCTCCAGAGAGGAACCTTAAGTGGTCACAGAATTTTTTTCCTCCAAAGCTTTTGCTCATTACTTAAGAACACATCTTCTAATTGGCTTCAAATTTTCTCTGCTGGTGTACTGTAACTATTGAGACATGCAGGTGTCCTGTGCTAAGTAGTATGGAGATATTCCAGGTATTTGTTTCTTAACCCTTTCAGGGTCCGTCCCGTAGATCTACGGCTTTACGTTCAGGGTCCAAACCGTAGATCTACGCCATGAGCTCAGCTCACTCTGATAAACTGTGAGTGGTACATTTGGGCCTAGATATGAGAGAATACATCTATGTGGTATGTGTGCACCACATAAAACAGATCCTGCAGCACACTGTGCATAATGAGAGAAAAAAAAATGAAATCATGATTTTTCGATTAAAACAGCAACTTTGCAGTGTTTTTTTTCGTATGTTTTTTATAGTTGTATTTGCGATTTCTTGGTCTCATTGATAGAATGGAAGACATATTACAGAAAATAGAGATGATTTTGATTGGTTTTAGCATTGGAAATGGCTTGAAACTGAGCTCAAAGTAGCGGAAATGTTAAATTTTTGCCGATATTCAAGAGTAAACAAACGACCTCACACGTCTAATACACATCAGCTGGTGGCTCTAATATACATTCACAAATATGGTGATGATATTTATACAATTATTACAGTATTGCATAACAGTAAATCTTCTATTTTTTGGTGTGAATAAAAATTCATTATGTGAATAAAAAATCAAAATGGAATTTATTTGTAAAGCCTCAAAACATAACTAATGAACAGAGGAAATGTTAGTTTAGTGCCAGGAATGCCTACATTGTTCATTCTGGACCCTATTTTGAAATTGGAATATTTTGAACTTTGTGTTAAATTGGCCAAATTAACAATTTCCGATCACTTTATTTTGTAGTTGAAACAGTTGACTTGGCGATTTCTTGTGCTCAAATCGATAGAATAGAAGTAATACTAGTGAAATAGCTAAGAATTTGGTTGATTGGAATAATGTAATTGGCCAAAAATGGGAGTCAAAGTGGGCAAAATCGCCGATTCGTAAATATCGCTGACAAAATCAAAATTCCGAGAGCATAATTTCGTCAATTTTCCACCAATTTTGGGTACTTTTTGTTTTATTACCTCACAAAAAGATTCTCTACGATTTCATAAGAAAAAATAACAATTTTTTTTTTTTAATATCTTGGACACGGGTGCGTGACTCCAGATTTGGCCTTGGACCCTGAAAGGGTTAATAACTTGAGAAAGCCTCAACTGATCAGACTTTTATAACAAGTTTATCCTATTTAGAAAATTGGAATTGTTATTGGAGTGTATCAATTTTATTTTTTCCTGAAATAACTTGAGAAATGCCTCTTATAAATGTCTTCAAACTTTAATGACTGATGAAATCCTATAAAGTTTAGGCTTTGTAAATGTAAATTTCCTAATTTTCTAACTTGGTTAATGAATTTAGAATTGTTGGATTTTGAGCAGTAACTGGAGAATACTGCTTCTGACCGACTTCAATTATTATTATAATCAAAAAGAAGTACTAAACCTACAAGGTAAATACAACTGACCAGCTTCAAACTTTGACTAATAGTGGGCTTCACTAAAAAAAGGTTTGCATTAACCCTTTGACTGTCGCAACCCCCAATCCTGAGGTGTCTCCTGGTGTCGCAAAATTTAAAAAAAAAAAAAAAAAAATTTTTTCTTGGAATGTAGAGAATCTTTTCCAGATTGTAATGACACCAAAAAAAGAAATTGATGGAAAACTGACGGAATTATGCTCTCGCGAAGTTAGCGACCTCAGCGCTGTTTACAAAACTGCGATTTCACCCACTTTGAGCCCTATTTAAAGGCTAAAATTTCCCTTGTTCCAGTCGCCCAAACTCATAGCTATTTCTTTAGAACTCCATTTTTTCTATCGATTTGGTACAAGAAACTGCCCAAATTTACCGATTTCAACTACCTAATAATGTGGTCAGAAAAATTTGCAATTTGGCCAATTTCACGAAAACTAAAAAATATGACAATTTCAAAATAAGGTTCAGAATGAACAATGCAGACATTCCTGGCCTAAAAAAATTTTCTTTGCTCATCAGTCATGTCTCCAGGCCCCTCTGATATTACCTTTGCTTTCTATTTTGAATTTTTATTCAAACAAAAAATAGAAGACTTACTATTATGCAGACTACTGCAATACTATAATAATTGTATAAATAACATCAACCCATTCATGACTGAATATTAGAATGGCTAGTTGGACATTTATTGGACAATGACATCATTTGTTTACTTTTGAACATCGGCAAAAATCAAACATTTCCCCTACTTTGAGCTCCATTTCTAGGATCTTTTTATAGTAAAATCAATCAAAATCACCTCTATTTCTATAATATGTTTTCCATTCTATCAAATGAAACCAAGAAAACGAGAATACAACCATAAATACTATACGAAAATAGACCACAAAGTCGGCATTTTAATTAAAAAGAACGGTCGGAGTTTTTTTTTCTCATTATGCACTGCGTGCTCCAGGATTTTTTTTATATGGTGCACACTGACCACACAGACCCATTCTCTCACATGTGGGCCTACCAGCTTTCTCCTGCTTGATTTGAAGCCACTAGAATTTATGAGTATATATACGTCAAACACGGTACCTCGTAAGACGTATATATACGGCCGCGATAGTCAAAGGGTTAACTTTGAATTGCATAGATTTTAATTTGCCAGTTTATTAAGTAAATTGGTTTCCATGCAATAACTGGAGAAAGTATTTTCTGATCAGCTTCAAACCCTAAATACCGGCCTATCGTAATTGCATTTGAATTTGAATCCTATTGGTGTCAATTTGACAGTTTTATTGAAGAAATTGTGTCAGTTGAAATATCGGTTTTCATGCTTTAACCCGTAAACGGTCCAAAGGTATGTATACGTTCACTACCCCAGTGCCCCAAATATTTTGAAAAATAAAAAAATCATTTTTTAATGAAAATAGAGAGCACATTTTTCTAAGTGTTACAGGATTAAAATAAAAAAAAATAGGGTCAGTACTTACCGAGATATGAGGCTGCAAAGTTGATACTTAATGCTCACCTGACGGCAACATAGAGTCCTGCCACTTGCGGAAGTGTTGCCGATATACGATTTTTTCTCATTTTTATATTATTTTATATAATTTTTATGTTCTGAGAATGGAGCGAAACAGAATGACTTCAAGAGTGTATCAGTCTGTAGTGGAAGGAAGGCGGGGTAGGGGTCGGCCTAGGAAGGGTTGGAGGGAGGGGGTAAAGGAGGTTTTGTGTGCGAGGGGCTTGGACTTCCAGCAGGCATGCGTGAGCGTGTTTGATAGGAGTGAATGGAGACAAATGGTTTTTAATACTTGACGTGCTGTTGAGTGTTGCAAAGTAACATTTTATGAAGGGATTCAGGGAAACCGGCAGGCCGGACTTGAGTCCTGGAGATGGGAAGTACAGTGCCTGCACTCTGAAGGAGGGGTGTTAATGTTGCAGTTTAAAAACTGTAGTGTAAAGCACCTTCTGGCAAGACAGTGATGGAGTGAATGAGGTGAAAGTTTTTCTTTTCGGCCACCCTGCCTGGTGGGAATCGGCCTGGTGATAATAAAAAAAAAAAAAAAAAAAAAAAAAAAAAATATTACAATTTATTGCAGTTCTTGTCATTTCATAACCAATCTTTGTTCTGACACTAATATTAGGTACTGAAATTGTACTCAAATTGTCACAAACACATTGATAGGTGGACATTTACACCTGCCTTGGTCATTTACCATTGTCTAGGAATATATACAAAATATTTATAGGTCTCAGCAATGTTTTGGATACACGGGAGTATAGAACAAGAAGAAGGAAGAGGGAAGGAGGAGGAGGAAGGAAGAAGGAAGAAATTCACTTGAAGCAATGTGTAAGACAAGTGTTCAATGACAGGCATCAGTGATAAGATCAGATATGAGATGACATTTGATGGGCACCAGTGAGGGTGCAAAGACAAGGGATGACATTTGATGAGCTCTTATCTCTAATTATCTGTGTCTCTGTCTTATTTCTCTGTCTGCTTGTCTCTTTCCATCTCTCTGCTTGTCTCTCTGTTTGTCTCAGAGAGAGCCACTGTGAACCAACAGGTATTCTTCTGCATTATATCTACAAGCACACTATAGCACTTCAGATTTTTTAGGTTATCCTAGGTAATTTACACTATGTATAATTGTATTTGTGTGTACTGTGGACAGATAGCGAACTGAAGATAGGACGACAGAGATAGAAAAGACATGACCTACTTGGGTAACATCACTTTCTCTAAAGGATATTAATTGACATTACATCAGTGAATCCTTGGTGTTTGTCCACTGTTTGCTCAAGCTGCAGCTCATATAACTGCACTCCACAAGTACTAAGGTCCAGATTTTTTAATATGGTGCACACACTGTTAGTACCCATTCTATGTGACCTAGCATTATGGGCCAGTCCGTGCAAATTTGGACAGAAAAATAAAACGTGTAATTTACGTTGGGCCTAGCAGTAAGAACTTTACATGTAACGTTTTGGACCATTTACGGTTAATTTGTAAGCCTTATCAATCTGCTTCAAACCTTAAATTTTAATTAATCTGCTAAGAGGAAGCTTTAGAATTTTTTGTCTGTTAAAATGCCTTTTACGAGTGTTACCTAACCCCTCGGTGTCAGTGTACTCAATTTGCTGTAGACGATTTAACAATCCCAGTTGCTTAATAAATCAAATATAGGACTACAGAAAATTTTAAAAAGAATAAAACATAGCAAAGAAAACTGAAAATCTGGTTGGATGAGGATACTAGGAGGCTTGTCTTGAAACATTATTATTATTATTATTATTAATTAGGGGGTTGATGGAATTTTGGTTGCTTCAGCCTTCTCTTGGTGTAACCTTTACTGGTCAGGACTGCTTCTTTTCCCTTCTCTTCCTCCTACTCACACTATACTATTCACTCATCTGTCCCTATCTCACCTATGCTATTTGTGCCTGGCGATCAACAGCAGCAACCCACCTAAAGCCAATATTAACCCAACAAAAAACTGTAGTAAGAATTATCACACAATCCAGTGCTAGACAACACACCCCCCACTCTTCAAAGACCTAAACTTACTCACTGTACAAAACATTCACACTTACTACTGCACAACCTACATTTACAGAACCATAAATTCTAATATTAACCCTAAACTAAAGCACTTTCTTGATAGTTACAACAGGCAGGGCCAGATTACCGCATAGGCAAACTAGGCATTTGCCTAGGGCCCCGCGGTCCAAGGGGTTCAGGGGCTCATCCAAGACTGCGCACATGGTGCAAGTGCAAAGGGGTCCCTACCTAAAAAGTTCAAGTGTTTGGAGAGTAAAATTTATTTTTAAAAATTAATCAAAACAAACATAAATAATGAAATAAAATAAAATAAAAATAAATAAACCTAACCATAGATGGCAACACTCAACACGCCTTTGTTTACATCAGAACAGCTGTGTTTTCCCGCTAATGGGTGAGTATAGGAGATTCCTCTCCAATTTTCTGTAGTAATTACACGTTATCTAGACTTGTACTGTGACAGATTAACTGAAGTGTTGTTGATAGACATTGATGTGTATGGATAAATGTTTGTTTTCGCCTCTAAATGTTAAGGGAGGTACCTGATAAGGTTACTTGACCAGTAAAGACGCATGGACCAGGAAAGACGCATTTTTGGTAAAAATACTATAAAGAAAAGCCTAAAAATGCAAACTGACTTCCGTTTGTAGGTTTTAAAAGCACTTTGTCCTGTCTTTAAGTCTTTATCATTTCAATAACAGATCTCAATTGATTGATGTTCTACATCACTTCCGTCACAAATGCTTAGTTTTCAAGTTGCAACGGAAGTGATGTAGAACATCAATTAATTTACTACATATTTCCCCAGAAACACGTAAGCCACATCAGAAAATCGTTGGTTGGGTGAAACTGAAAATTGTCCCTGCATTCTTTAATTCTCATGTCCTTATCTATGGTGGTAGGCCATATATCATGCAAAACATAATTAGTTTAGTTATGAAAATGGTAATATAAATACCATTGTGCAGTGTTCTTGGACTCAGTATGATTTCTGTTTAAGTAAATTGGAGATCAAGGAGGATGAATTAGTAAAATATTCGTAGCCCAAATCACTAACCTAATCTATGGTAAAAGTTCTGTATATGACTCCTTTCTGGTAACGTTTTGAATTTTTAGATGCACAGCCAGAGGAAAGGGGGCTACAAGGGCCATATCCCCCCAATTGACAGAAAAAAAAAATTTAATAATAATTAAAAATTAATAATAATTGATAATGAAAAATTTGTATTTGCATGATTACAGACAGTGATACATCCTCATTATGGCATCTCGTGAACGTGATGTTGGACGTTCTTATGCGAGTGGGTCACAGAAAAGAAAGAAGAAAATTCAAGAAGAAGAACAGAAAAAGAAAGATGTAGGAAGCTGCAGAAAGATCACAGACATGCTCACGAAAACAGTTTTCTGATGTTTACCAGTACAGTTGAATCTGCAGATACGTCAGATCATACAGGAAGCCCTCCCTCCATTATTTCTCAGCCCGCATCTACTTCTTTTGTGTCTCCTCTCAATGTCTCAACGGACCTTTCATCCACAGGATTTGTCTTAAAAGATCCTGCCTCATGGCCAAATGTAATCCCAAATTCTCTACGTAATGCTTTCATTGCAGAAAACTTCAGTCAAACTCTGAACAGTGACTTTAGGAAATCAGCAAGGATTTAAGATGATGGAAGTCGTCATTGTTTAAAGTCATCTATGTTTTATAGGAAGCTTGCAAATTCAGAAACTCTGAAAAGATCATGGATGGTATACTCTGAAAGCTCAGGAAAAGTGTACTGTTCAGCATGCAAGCTATTTTCTACCAAAGAAAATACCTTCACACAGGGGTTCAATGACTGGAAAAATTCCAAGCGTTTTGAGGAACATGAAAACAGCACCACTCACAGGAGCTGCATTTTAGCCAGTGTATTTCGTGCACAGAAAAAAGGCTTATTGGATTCTCATGTGGAAAATCAAACTGAAAAAGAGCGCACTTATTGGAGAAAAATTCTAGAAAGAGTTGTTGCTGTTGTAAAATTCTTATCTCTAAGAGGACTTGCTTTCCGTGGAGAAAATGAGGTTTTTGGTTCGGAAAACAATGGCAATTTCCTAGGGATCATAGAACTGTTAGCACAATTCGATCCATTCTTAGTAAATCATGTGTCACGCCTTGGGAATGCAGGAAGAGGCACTCTATCTTACATGTCATCTACTATATGCAATGAATTTATTGAACTGATGACTAAGAAGGTCCTCAATAACATCATAGCAGCTGTGAAAACTGCAAAATACTTTGCAATAAGTGTAGATTCAACACCAGATATTTCACATACAGATCAATTGACATTCATTGTTCGCTTTGTCGACTCCAGTGGTAAGCCTGTAGAGCGCTTTATAAAATTCATTCCTCTTTCAGGCCATGATGGAGAAACAATGATGAATGTAGTACTGGATACTCTGCTTGAACATGATCTCTCTATTATGGATTGCCATGGCCAGAGCTACAATGCAAGTAACATGTCGGGTAAATATAATGGATTGCAAGCCCGTATCAAGCAAATCAACCCACTTGCTGAATATGTGCCCTGCTCAGCACATTCTCTTAATCTTCTTGGGTCATGTGCTGCGGAGTGTTGTGTCGCTGCAGTTTCATTTTTTGGACTTTTACAAGCACTCTTTAATTTTTTCTCTGTTTCAATGCATCGGTGGAGTATACTCAAGTCAACCATTCATGGAGATGTCATCAAATCATTATCAACAACAAGGTGGTCAGCGCAGCATGATGCAACACATGC